TGCATTGCTTCTATTAAATGATTCTGGACAAAGGAGGGGCGGTATAAAACTGGCAAATGAGGGGTGCTTAATTTTTTATTTAAAAGTTCAGCTATTGTTAAGATGTGGTTGCGCAGTGGGTGGAGGGCTGTGGGTGTTACCTCTCGGAAGTTATGCTCTTGATCCCAACCTTGGCTCTGATATTTTTTCCAGGCGATTTTAATTCACAAAGTAAACACTTTTTGAGGTTAAACGTTTTAATTTTACAACAAACTAAGTTCAGCCAAGAATTGTGAGCATCTCATTGAGGTCCAACACAGAATTTGTTGTCACCTCAAAGGATGTTTTCCCTCCGTCGTACCTTCAGCTTTTTCTCATATCCGACTTTTGAACGTGGAAATGTTTCTTTTGGATGATGTTAAATGAAACATGCCTGTGATACTTAGTGACGGAGAAACCCACAAAAAACAGAAATAATGAAAGCCACTTTTGGGTTCGGCATATTATACATCTCCTTGGAATGCAGCCTCTGCTTACCACGCATCGGTCAGAGTTTTTATTTGCAGCACGCTGGGCCTCGCAGAGCTTTGTCACATTTTGTCGTGTTAAAATCACCAGTTTCCTTCTGTTTTTACATAATAATCGAGCTCTTAACGGTGCGCGGTTGTACATTTCCATGGTTTAATTTTTTTTTTTTCTCACAAATTATTAGTCGGAAAGTGTGGCATCCGTTTGTATTCTGTGTAACTGCGGCTGTTTTGCAAAGGACTCGGTTATTATTTCAGAGAACAAATCGCATCGTGAAGACCAAGGAACACAGCAGACGGATCGGGGAGAAAATGGTGGAGGGGTTTAAAGCAGGAACTTCTCATGCTCCGAACATTTTGTGCAGCAGTGTTCAGTCCGTTATCTGCAACTGATGGACCAAATAGTTGTACAACTCTAACCCTCGCTAGACACGACTGTGTAGTAAAACTGATTTTAAAAAAAGAGAAGCAGCGAGGTAATAAAGAAATTAAAAGAGAACAGTAGTAAAGTTTAAAACTTGCCACAAACCATACAGGGACGGCGCGAGCAGGAAAGAATTTCCTCTCGAATAAGTAAGAATAGAATTGAACCCGTTGGTCTTCGTGCAAAAGCACCGCGTGGCCCGTCTCTCTGAACATCCCCACTGTGAAACCTGATGGTGGCAGCATCATGCTGCAGGAAAACTTTCCTTCTGCTGAGAAAGGAAAGCTTTTTAGATTTGATAAAGAGGGGAGTCCTGGGAGGAAATCCGTTTGAGCGTATGACGGGCTCACCTTCCAGCGGCGCAGCAACACCAAACGTACAGCCGGGGCTGCAAAGAAATGGCTTATGTAGATCAAAGAACGTTACTGGATTAGAATGGCTTAGTCAAAGTCCACGACTAAATCTAAAATCGATGTTCTTAGATGCTCTCTGACCGAGATTCAGTTGTTCTGACTAGAAGAATATAGGCAAAACTTTCAGTCTCTAGATGTACAAAGCTGGAAGAGTCAAACCCAAAAAGTCTGCAGCTGTAATTGTGAAGAGAGGTAGTTTCGAAATATTCTGACTCAGGGGGTCTTTAATGCAAATGTATATTCCACATTTCAGATTGAGGTGAAACCCATTAAAGTTTCTTGTTGGAAAGTGAAAACATCCAGGAAAGCTCACAGGGTCTTGATACTTCTGCACAAAATGACACTCTATGTTGAAACGAGACTCGATTGAGAAACGTGAGCAACAGGATAGGAGTTACGATTTTCTTTCAAAGAGGATTGTATGCATGTTTCGTATATTTTTATCCTTTTTCGAAGCTGCTAAAGTCTTGCATGTCGATCCTTCATGTTACTGATGTTTCTAATTGGCGACTTACGAGCCCAGAAACCAAAAACCCATACCTTCTTGCCAGTGGAAATAACGAGAACCGTTCAAATGTCTTTGTCCCTGCAAACATCGTAAAATTAATCAGAGACAAAGATTTGACCAGAATAAATATGAAAGTACTAAAGCATTCAAGTGCGTCATTTTCTGAAAAGAAGCCTGCAGAGTCGGATCACGGTTCCAGGCTTCTGTCACGTTTAGAAAGCAGCAGGAGTAAGTGAAGGGAGATGGCTGGCTGCACTGAAATCATGTGATACAACAGCGGTGCCTGTGAAATTGAGAAGCTAAGTGTGGAGTGGAAACACTTGCCTGAAGGTAGAGATTTAAACACATCTATTAAAGGCTCAATTCACTCAAATTACAAAGAATGTTTCGGGGGGGGGGGTTGGCAGAAATGTTATGCTAGTGTTATCTGCAGGCTTCCTGAAGAACTACAAAAAGTAGACCTGAGTGAATCTGAGTAGACCTTTTGTTGGCTGTTTAGAAATGTGTATAAGCCTTGTGGTTGCAGTCAAAACACTATATATATATATATTTTTTTTTTGAAGTTTTCTGGAAAGTTTAAAAAATAAATCTGATCAGAATCCAGTCGAGGACATTTGCAGCTGCTAGAGAACGCTATCACTCATCCCGTTTTATGTGGGAATGTTGTGTTTTCTTTTTCAGCCTTGACATGTTTAAAGCTGTGCTTTTCTTTTGTTTTTTTTTGGGCAGGGTTTTTTTAGTTAACTGCAAAACCTTCAATTATCTCCTGTTTTCTCCACACCATGTAAACCGACTCAAAATTTAAATAGGGTACGACTTGCAGGCCTTGATGGGCCACACAGCATTGAAGAGAATACCTTTGATAAACTTGTTATGCTGAAAAAAAAGAAAAAAACATCTCAGTGTCCTATTGCAGGACAGGACCAGCGGTGCATGAATTGTCATGAAATCTCAGACTGATCTGATTTCAGTCTGGAAACCAGAACAGAACCTTTTGGCCCAAACGGCAAGAGTCATATGTGCTTATCACATGCCTGCTACCATCAACGCATGGCGGTGGCGGCATCATGTCGTGTGTCATTGCTTTTGAAGCTGTTTCGTAATTTGTTTTAAGCTTGTACATGTGGTTGCATTTGTGTGACGAGGTTGTTGTGTGTTGCAGATGAGATCTGGGTCTCAATGTGGTTTTACCCGGTTAACCAGAGGAAAGAAGAAAACAAAAGGAAAAGGAGCGGCGATCTATGAAAGCCTCTTAGTGGATCACCTGCGCTCCAAATGTAATTCGGGAAGGACATTAAATTGGCCCTCCATCAACGCTGCCCACCCAGTCTGACTTAGTGGGAGGATAAGAGGAGATTGAATGAACACCACAAACAGGTATGCAGAGAACTACCCAAGAACACTTGAGTCTTTAAAGGCTGTCAAAGGAGCTTAGTCAGATATTCAGGAAAAACATAATAAATAAAGCTTTAATCCATTTTTAATACAACTGTAACACAAAATGTTTGTGAGTAATTATTACCTTCAAATTCCTCCCATCTCACTACTGGTTTGGTGATCTGGAAGCAACGGAAGGGAAAGGAGCAAGACGATGAATTTTAAACATGTAAGCTTATTCGAGCAGCCTGCCAAATTAAATCGGAAAACTTTGAAATCGCCACAATTATGGGCCTCTGACACAATTGTGTTTTCACAAAAACAGCTCCTGCGTTTCATTAGTTGGGTGACCTCGCTGTTCCATGGCCGTCTTGCGTGTGTGTCAGCCCTTTCTGCCATCGGCTTTGTCATATCTTTCCGCCGCAGTGGAAAGATTCTCCTGTTCGCTGATTTACAACTCAGTGGCTCTTTACCACACGCTTTTGTTTATCGCACGACCCCGGGCTCTCGTTCAAGAATCCAGAGGAGAAAGTCAGTGCCCCGTTGTGAAGGCCACCTTTCAAACGGTCGCCTACATGTACGGCTAAACCAACATTTTCTTTTACTCAGTTTTATGTCATGTTTGTGTTGACAATGACAGCAGAAAAGACTGTTTAACTTCCATAAGTTTGCATGCACTAATTATGGGTGTAAATCTTTATTTTTGCAGGGTGGAATAGCTAAAATCGATTGCTTTAGCCATAATCCATTTAAAATACAGTTATATCAGGATGATTACAGATGCTTAACGTCGGTGTGCGTTATCCTTTCAACGGCGTCCAAGTTTAAAAATGTTGCTCTTGACTGGAGATGGAGTTTAAGGATTTAAAGGCATGGTCTTCCTTTGATACTTCATTGACTGCCACCATCTGGCTTGACAGTTGATGAAATATGTTTTGGCTTCAAACCTTTGTCTTAGCTTTCTCCATGCAAACAATTTGTCAGAATAGCTGAGTTTTTATCTCATTTTGGCCATAAAACTTTACTTCAAAGGCATTGGATGTGGACTGCAGCAAATTTAGTGGTTCCTAAGGCTGATGTCTGTTTTAGTACACGCTGACCATTCATGTCTGAGGAAGACTGTTTGAGTTAGATGGTTGACATCTCAATACATTTGGGTCTTCCAGCAGGATAGTTACACCAAGCCCCCATCAAAGCTGGATGTAGAATGCTAGCTACTATTAACATTTCACCATCAAATAGTGTGCATAAAATTCAGATCTGATTCTGAAACCCCAACCAGATTAAATCCTGCCAGAATTTCTCAGAATCGTGTTGAGATTTAATCCCGCAAAAAGAAACTTCTCCAGCCAAAAATATTAGAGACATTCGTTCACAAAGTGAGTGGATGTAGGATTACCACCACCGTTGGGTCATTGCAATACCAGGAGGCCTTATTTTTTATTTAATAGAAACAAGTTTATTTCTGTAAAAAGTTATAAAATGAATATTGTACAAAAATAAAGTTTGCAGAGAGCTTTGGTTCTGTAACACAAAACAAGTGAGACAAGACAGGATTCTCCCCCCGCCCCCCAACACATATACATAGATGCGAACAGAGTGAAAACAAAAAAACTTCTGATGCTAACATTGCAGATTCCTTCGCATTTAACAAAGAAGACGTTTGCCAGCGGACAGTCAGGTGAACTGTACAGAAGATGAGAGGCAGGAAGTGTTATCAGAAGGACGATTCAACTGTGTGAGGTGATAAAAGTCAGGATTTTCTTTTGTTTTTATCATTATTTGTGTTTAGTGCTTGGCCTAAATTCAGCCTGATGCAGTGGATTTGTTCTGTGCAAGGGGGATTACACAGTAAAGCTGGCCTGCTTGCTGCTGGGTGGGCACAGATACCTTGGTCCCTAATCCGTGCTAACATCAAGACCTACACGAGGGCTCTCTTTGTTCCACTTATAATGACCGCCCTCCCCTTAAAGGGGGGAGCAGCTCCTTTCCTTCATATACGTCGTGGTTTTAGTTGGAGAAATTATTTCTTTACAAGTTGCTACGTGCAGAGAGCATGCAGAGCAGACCCATTGTCCTCACGCCAGATTTTTCCAAAACACACTCTATTGTCCGAACGTCTAGTCTTCTGACACTTACAGCAACTGCTTGACAACAGCCGCTACAGTAGCTAGGTCTTCCTTAAATTGTCTTTGCCGGAGGGGATACGCAGTTAAGACTCACATCAGAGGATCACTTTCAAGTTCCCTTTGAGGGAATAAGAGCTGCCAGTTAGGGCGCGGACAGAAACGCGGGCACACTAACGGAGACTGAAGCTCATCAGCCACCGCTTAGGCCCAACGCACAGGCAGCCTGAGGTTTAGGATAACCTTTGCTGATCGGCAAATCGGCATGGATGTTTTAAAGCTCCTCGTGGAAACGGCTCCCCCGGTTTCCATAATGTCATCTCATTTGATCCAAAAGGTGTTGTGGTTTTTAGTTAATCCACATACAACGATGCACTAATACTATGAATGGAATTTAATTGATGGTTGTATTTATTATGGAATTTAAATGACAGGGGGAAAAAATAGACATGGGAAAAGGCACAATCCTTATATCATAGGTTGCATTTTCCAATTTATTTATCTTCTTGTCATATATTATATTTATTATTATATTTAAGAGCTTATCTGCATCGGCGTCGTACGTCTCTTGATTTGTGTTCATGTACTGCAAATGTCCCCGGGGCCATAACTTGAACACCTCTCATCCAGATAGATCGGAACAGCCTAATAGCACAATTCAACTTGATTAGATCTGTTGTTTTGTTATATAAACCTAGAAAAGAAAACGCTTCACGTCCATTGGTGCCACTTAGCAGGTTGAATTGCAGAATGCTGTTTTAATTATGTGTTTCATGGGTTCCAGAAGGTTGCGAAAGTAACTGAAAAGTGCCTGGAAGCTGGGACTTAATGTGGGGAAATTCAAAGTTTTCAACAGCTTATAAAACTTAATGACAATCATTTAATTTGCACCTTTGATGATTTTCATCCAATTAAATAAGTCACACAAACATACCATAAAAACTCCTTCAGTAAACATGTTGCTACAGCATGCAAATTGTGACTCAGCGACGTTCCGGATCTGAATTCAATCTTGTAGGACTCGATTTCAATTGCAAAAGTTGTGAAATAACAAAGTCGTGAACTGACCGCAGCTCGCTGAGGTTTAGCCATCTACTCTCGCAGCCCACGAGTTAACATTGTTTCCTTTCGAGTTTTTTTTTTTTTTGCTTCAGTCAACTCACTGATACTAAGAAATAGAAAACTTTGAGCCTTGTTCCTGCAGTAACAACATTCATACCAAAAGAGTGTTGTTTATGATGTGTCTCTATAGAAACAGAGTATAAAGAATGGATGATTTTAATGTAGAAGTCGAGGTATGTGAGGAGAGAGACAATGTTTCCCATGTCAAAGAGCGGTCACATTAAGTGAAAAACGATGGAAACTACACCGCTGTCTCGAAATGCTAAAAATCAACCAATCGTTTCTACCATAACTCATCTACTGGTCCCCTCCTCTGTCTCTGCATGTTGCCTTTATGTTGAATAACCACCATTTGGATGGTTAAATATAGCTGGAATTTAAATGACAAAGCAAAAAAACAAACAAACAAACAAACAAACAAAAAGCTTTTCCAAGATGTCTGGGAAAGCTTAGCAGTTTTGAGCAAATCCTGAAATATTTTGCATGGGAAAACTCTCTACTTTGGCACTGTCCAGAACAAATGAAACAATTTAATAAATAGAAGAAGAAGAAAAAAACAGCTTTTTCTTTCATAATATGGATTGAAATAAATAACAATAAGTTAATTCCATCTCAATAAATATACCTCTTACACAAACCTCTTATATATGATTGCTGTATGTTGATTGCTTTTCTTATGCAGATGCATTCCACCAGTCTTTTCTGCACCTTGGTGTGTTTTCCTTGGCTCTGAATGTCAACATCAAGACTATACAGGGGAGGTGATTTAGACTACAACTGAGAGAGGTCCCTCAACTCTCTGCACTCATCTGGAGACAGCCAGCTAAGGAAAAACTGAATTCCTGGGAAATTAAATCCTCCTTGCAAGATCAGTTTTTCTTCACCTTCTGTTTTGACAGCATTCTGTAAGTGTAACAGTATTTAATCTGCTGTAAACTGGTACCTCTGCGCACAATCTCGAGGATTATATGTGAGTTTGTTTCTTTAGCGGCTGTTCCATTGTCTCTCACGAGCTCTCGCTGTAATCCACTTTGACCCGTCTTGATATCAGCTGACAAAAATAAGAGACTACACACCCTGCCCTCCAGAGCACACGTCTGACTGCAGTCCCTCCGTGCGCAGCATCTGCTGAGATGATCCAAAGTCCGCTGCGGGATTTCGTCGTGACTTCCTCAGACGCAGGCACACTTCCGGGCCGAGTGCTTTTTCAGAGTGTGATACACCACGTCGTCGTCCAAAAAAGACAGATCGTCGTCGAAGGCGATCGGTCGACAGCAGGTGCGTGAGGGTGTGTCCTTGTCCAGCTTTTTGTTGTGTGTGAGGTTGTTCAGGATCTTGTCGTAGTTGGTCTCCGCCTCAATGCAGGGCCCACTACAGTACCGGAAGATCAGCTCCTCCTTGGTCTGGTACCCTAGCCCCAAATCCGTCACATTGAGATGGACCTCCTTTAGTAAGCAACCACGACTCTGTACAGATATCCTGTCCTTTTCTCTCTCCGCTCCGCCTCCCTTGCCTCCTCGGCCTCCTCCTCGGCCTCTACCCTTCTTCTTCCCCCCATGCCCTCTCCTCTCTTCTCTCGTGACTTTTGTGTTTGCTGCTCCTCTCTGTCTCTGCTCCCGTCGTCCTGCGGCGTTCCCGCTAGTTTCCGATGACCTTCGGAGTCTGCCGATGGTAGCCTCGATAAAATCCATCACGTCCTCAAACTGGTCTGGATAGGGAGCTGCTATGTCATCTGTGAGGTACGGAAGAAGGAGATTAGTTTATAAATCGCAATTACACATCTTCTGTTTTTAAAGTGAATTTACTATATATCCAAAATCAATCAATCAATCAATCAATCAATCAATATCAAACTTTATTTGTATAGCACATTTCAGCAGCAAGGCATTTCAAAGTGCTTTACATAATTAAAATAAAAACAGCATGTGACATTGATTAAACAGTGAGAAAGAGAAAGACATTTTGAAAAAGATTAAAACAATAAAAACCGTAGACATTGTGAAAGAGAAATAAAAAGAAGTTAATAACTAGATGAAAAGTAAAAATAAAAACATTAAAAACATCAAAACCCTTATTTAGCCATAAGCAACTCTAAACAGGTGGGTTTTAAGTTGAGATTTAAAGGCACCCAGTGTTTCAGCTGTTTTACAGTTTTCTGGAAGTTTGTTCCAGATTTGTGGTGCATAGAAACTGAATGCTGTTTCTCCTCGTTTGGTTCTGGTTCTGGGGATGCAGAGCAGACCAGAACCAGAAGATCTGAGTTGTCTAGACGGTTGGTACAGCAATAACAGATTTTTAATGTATTGTGGTGCTAAACCGTTCAGTGATTTATAAACTAACAACAGTATTTTAAAGTCTATTCTTTGAGCTACAGGGAGCCAGAGTAGGGACTTTAAGACTGGTGTTATGTGCTCCATCTTCCTTGATTTAGTGAGAACGCGAGCAGCAGCGTTCTGGAAAAGTATTGGGGCACCTGCTTTTACACACATGTGGACTTTACTGATATGCTATTCTTATTGCAAAAACTTTAATATGATGCAGCTATATTTTCTCAGAGCATTCTTTCAGAAACTCGTTTGTAGCCAAGTAGGCCGCGGCTCATTTTGCTCCTTCTGAACTGAGCATTTTAGCATTTTAGCTTTAGTTTTTGTCTATTCGTCCGTCTGATCTGGTCACAGAAGTGACAGTTTCAGAAGGGAAACTTGCACATCCATTTCCTCAGCGACATTCGGACTCATTGTGTGTAAACCAAAATAATCCCCGTTTGGTTCTGGTTCATCCTAATCGCTTACTCCAACCACCTTAACTGATTCCTTTCAATGTGGCTCTACTTCAAGCCCCCCCATTAACAGAGCATCACACCCCATCCAGTCACCACAGGAACCACTGGTCAGCCATTTGTATCCAGAATGTCATTGTTTCAGTCAAGATTCATACCTCATGATCATAGAAGATCGATGGAACGTAAACTTTTGACTTAGTTCTTTCCTCACCGCGAAAAACTAGAGCAAGGGCCAAATTACTGCAGACAAGGCCTCCAACCAAGACATCAACATAATAATAATAATAATAATAATAATAATAATAATAATAATAATAATAAACAATACAATCAACTCATCTACTTGATGTAGACTCTGACCTTAATCCTAGGGTTGCCAAGTCTTTCAGATCATTTTTATTTGCAACTTTTTCAGGTACTAGATGGACTTACCAATGATGCAAAAGATACAGAAAATAATCTACAACTATGTTAAAGTCTTATGTAAAAGTTACACATTTTTATATAATTTTATTACTTTATATTTTTATTTTATATTAGTCATCTCCAAATTTGTTAAATAAATAAATAGCAGAATGGAACAGAATAGAAATGTCCTTTTTTGTCCCACAATGGGGAAATTCAGGTGCAACAGGAGCATCAAGGGATGTAGGTTCACACAAGGATAATAAATGAAGAAATAAATTTAAAAAAAATTAAAGACAATATATTGTACGGTAACAACAAGATCACAACATAAAAATATGGTGCAGTTTTTAGAAACAACGTACTCAAATTACCTTGAAAAATGAACGGATTTATAATAGTTACAGTTTCTTTACCGATATCAGTAGGAAGCAGGGCGGGGGCTAAAATATCAATTTATAGGTAAGAAATGTGGGTCTGAACTGGGTAATGGGTGAAGCGATTTGTTCAAAGATCTTCACAAGGATGAACAAGCATGCCTGGTGATGGCAGCTCCTATTGAAATTTCTATGATTATGAAATAACAGTTTAACTGTTATTTCACTGAAACAGTGCTTTTTTTTTTTTTGCTTTTTTCTTTTTATCAGGGTTCCTGTTCTCATTCACCACCCCCTTACAGTGTGTTATACAAATGCTGCGCTTTGCACTTCCATTCACACTACAATGAGCACATCAGGAGCAATAGTAGTTTCAGTCTCTTGCCTAAGGGGACTTTCAGCATATTTTAGTAAGGGAACAGAGTCATGCCACATCAACACTGAGCCGTGATCATCCTAGAGCCAGATTTCAATTTATCGCTTGTAATTTTGCGAATAAGATTACAAATTATTTTCACGTCAAAAGAAATTGCAAATGCACACTCTTTACCACTTTCAGTGTTGAGTTTTCTACTTAGTAACGTTCAGTTCGTCCTTTTGCGGCTTTATTCTGTTTTCTGATTAATATTTTGGTCATTCCCAACTCGCTCTTTGAGAAAGCTCGAGCTTTAAATCGCTAATTAAAATGTCAGCGCTACAAAAGTTTTTGTTGGCTTCAGTTGTTTATTCTGTTCCTGCTGTTTAATTATTCTTGGTGTTTATGAAGCTACAAAAAGCAATGAGTCATTGCACCAAAGTTCAGCACTTTAACCACCAACTGGCAAAACCTGCATTTTGACTTCCCACCTATGTAAACATCTTGCTGACAACACCCCCATCCCTCAAGGAAACAGGAGTGCTCGATAAAAACGTGCAGGAAAGCCATGGATTTTGCTTAAAATGATCAGGATTTACTCAAAGAATGCCTGAAAGTGTCCAGGGTGTTTAATCAGCTTCCAAACCTCACATATGAGGTCTCCTGGCATCTGTGGAAGGCAAGTGCAACCCCATGATCAAAAGGCCCCAGAGGATCTATAACTAAAGTTCAGGTACCAAATGTTCCAGCACACCATCTGATGTTTGTTGACTATGTCAACCGAATAGGCTCACTATTTGTTGTAGACGTGTTCTAAGAGGTTTTCAGATTTTTGTGAAATACAATGTGAAATCCACAGGGCGTTTCGAAACATTACAGCCACAAGCTTTCATTGAGATTTTATGTGATAGACCAACACAAAGTAGTGCGTAATTGAGACATGGCTCTCTCTGTTTTGTTTTTTTTGTTGTTGTTTTTTTTTTTTAACTAATGACAAGTGTCTTGCGTGTCTTGGCTGAAATTATAGATTCAAGCTGTTTGGAAATTTTTTTGTTTTTCTCACTTTTTTGGGGTGGGAAAAATCTCAAGCTCAGTCAGAATTAATGGAGAACATCAGCGATTGTCAGTTTTAAGCTTTTGCCATAGATTTTCCTCTGGATTTCGTAACTCGTCGTTGCAAAACATTAACATGCGTTGATGTAAGCCATTACATGCTCATGCTGTTTGTTTAGTGTTGTTACCCTGCTGGAAAGTATCCAGATTTCTCATCAACAGCATTGTGAGGCCACAAGTAAGGTTTTAAATTCAAAATATGTCAATGATGTTGCATTTTAGCCATTTGTAATTCAAAATCCCATTAGCACTGGTGATAATTTTACTTATCTAAAAAAAGTTAATTCTGTTCTGTATTCCTATCGTAGTTTCATTTCATCTTGGGAGGTTTTAAAGAAAAATCAGTGTACCAACTTTGTTTGCTGGCACTTCCTTCCTAGAGCTAAAAACGCACCCAGGTCTTCTCTTAACTCCCCGCAGAGTTTGACCTTTCAGGCAGAATTTGTGAGCTTTCTCACAGGAACTGCCAGGTTCAATGCAGTCGAGCACAAACAAGTCACAAATGCGTTTTAATGTCTGATGGGTGTCATTATAATACGCGCAGACTTGAGAGGCCGTAAGAAAGGGAAGTCATATGCTTTGAGTTATTCGGATGAAACAATTGAAAATATGCTGCTGTACATCGCTGCAGCATCTGCTCTGAGCAAAAAAAAAAAAAAATATATCGAAGACTGAGTGAAAAATTTGGACCCTCCTGGATCCCATGTTGATCTCGTTAAAAAGTTACGTGAACTGGCACAGGTATGGGAGCAGTGAACTTGGTTGTAAATTAGTCAGATGCTAATTATACTACCTGAGCATGTCTGCGTAACGGGGGCAACGCCTCTGCGCTCAGATGTGTGTTAACCTGTTGTACGTGCATCAAGGAGTCACAGCCGGCGGGGTGAGATATCTGGCAGGTGGTGTTGTGGTTAGCGTAGCGTCTACTCTGCAGTGTCCTCTATCTCTTCTTCTTTACCTTGGCTATCTGATCTGCCCGAGCGCTACAGCTGATTGGGCTGCCCTTCGTGTATCAGGTGAACTATGGGGCCAATCTGTTTAGACACACCTATCCTTTGATTTAGGCGCCTTGTATTGTGTGTCAGCTGAAAGACGTGGTGGCTACAGAGTGCACCTGCTGACAGATTATACTGCGACACCTAATGAGCTGAATCAAACTCTGCTATTACGTTGCTCGATCAATCGTGGAGACTCATGCTGGTGTCTAAAATAAACACAAACGAGGCAGAAATGTAAAATAAGGCTTTTGTCATTTAAACATTATTAATTTTGAAACTCCAGTGCACGTTTCTAGAAATATCAGTCCTATTCTCTCAAATAAAAAAAAGGTTCACCATGAATTAATGTCAGATAAAGAGGTCAGACTTCATGGATCCTGCAGGGTGGATGGATAGATGGAATAGTAGGGAATAAAGTCTGTATATATAACCAAAATTGCATTTTCTAATATATATTTTTTTCATATTACTCCAGACGTGGAAATAAAAAAATAAAAAAAACTTTTTCCAGACTGCGTAAGAACCCCGTTTTGGCATGAATCTCCTTAAAAGCGGAAGCCTGCGCATTCCAGTCACAAAATTTAACAGCAAACCGTGTTTTTATTTGACATTAAGCATAAACCGAGCGACCTATCCCCTCTCCCCGCATGGCCGCTCTGTTTACACTGCTCCTGAAGACTTCATCGTCTAGGGATACGCTGCAGATCAGTGATGTCACCGCGCTCCAAACACAATATGAAGTGGCAAAGACAAACACATGCCCCAAATGTTCCATGCCTTATCTAGTTGTTAGCTGTGATTACTCCAAAGTGAGGATGATACAGTGTCACACTGATCCAAACAGAATACATTCCTGCCCACCGTCTCTGTCGGAACGAATATAAACACAGGGCGCTTATTCAGTGCTTCAGACGAGCCTTTGCACCTTGAAAAAAACCTCCTGTGACCTGGTTCACAGCGCCTCCTCTGAAACCTGCCATGATTTCTGAGTTTTGGCAGATGGGTAAATGTCACGGGTGTCTGAGGCACAGAGAGGCATTGGGGTGAATGTAAACACGCGGAGACAGGGGGATGTGAAAAGTGAAGTCTGCTGAGGATTGGAGCTGTTCAAAGTCTTTTGCATCCAGCCGGTTTGTTTAGACAACACGATGATGTAACACAAAAGCAGCAATAAAACACAAATTAAGACCTCCATCTGATAACCTGTGAGTTGGATTATTCGTGCAGCGGGAATCGCTTCACGGGGTGTTTTTCAAGATGCACCACATTATTTAGTATTTAAAAAGTAACTTAGCAGTATTTATGTGCATTTAGACAGTCGATGTTATTTATCTTACTTATTGCACATGTTCCTTCCTGACTGCTTAAGCAAACAGGATGGTGTGTCTGCTTTCTTTATAATGTCAGGAGATGTTTGTTCCACAAAAGAGGAAAAATCAGTTATTCCCCCTTGTGCTTAATTGACTTCTCCAAGGCTGGGAAGTGAACGTGCGTGACGGACCCTGCTCAAAGAGAACTGTTGTTACTACACGTCTCACACTGATATATCTGATCAGATGTCTTACACTGATCTTCCATGGAGATCTCCTGAAGCTTGTGCTCTTCACGCTGGAACAGTGGCTCTTCCTCTTCCACAGACAGAGACCCAGAATCACGGTAGCTGCTGGGGAAGCGAGTCCTCTTGGCTTGCTGAGTGTTTTGGTAGAGAGGCCGTGTAGCGACAGAGGTCAGGAGCAAGAAACACGTGGCCAGAACATCCCATAACTTCATCTTAGACTCAGTTCCTATGATGAAAGCTGCAAAATAAACTTGGGTCAGTCTCGCTGTTTTAAAGATGCTCATGAATAAAGTTGACAGATTTCAGAACTTTGGTACGCGCTACCCTATTTATACTTTGAGGCCAAGCAAATTAGAAAAGACGTCTACTTTCTCCCAGAAAGCCAACCGACGCTTTCCGAATCAAGCACATGAAACGATACAGTGACTAGACGTTACCACAACTCATACTATACTGATAACCGTGCCAACATGTCAACAAGGTTTTACTCCGATTTGTTTTGTGAACGCTCTGAACATAAAAGTCTATCGATGAAGTTGTACAACAGCAGATGGAGACCTATCTACACTACAAAAAATAATTTTGGAAGGTATTAAATTTTAGTCATTTGTCACTGAATTCTAATCAAGGATACTCATTTTTAAATGTGAAGTCAGATGTTTAGATTCCAATGCCATCTACTTTTCTTGGGTAGGGGGGGGGGGAAGAAGAATTACTATTGCAACAACACATTATGAGTAGAGTAAAGCAAACCTGTTTCACAACAGTCTAAACCCAGCTCACATTCCCTACTGGTGGGGGAGGGAGAGGAGTAACAATTCTTCCTTTACATTTTAATTACACTTTAAATGAAAATATTGTTTCAGTCAACTTTATTCTGATTTTCAGAGTTCAGCAGAGGACTAAAGCTAAATCAGGCAATTGCAATCTTTGGCCCATTTTCAGACAATTTTCCATTTTTGTGACAATTTTGACAATCAGGCTTGTTTTAACATAGGTTGTTTTATAAATTAATATATTTAGCAGGGACTGATTGTAGCAGTGCTTAGTTACAGCTACTTGATTATCTCAAACAACTTTTTGACAACGTTTAGACATCTACAGATGTTTTAACATGTACGCCTTTTCACAGTTCGCTTTTCAACCATGTTTTAACATTATTTAGCGAGAGAGCTGCTGTCGCTTTCAGGAAAAATGTTGCTCATTGGGATCCTTTTGCTTCAGAAAATTTGCTCTTCTGGTTTAGCTCTAGCTCTAAAGCTAAAGTAATATTTTCTTAGCTAACTGACCATCTGTACTCTAAGGCTACAGTTGCCAATGAGTAGCATTATTAGCAGTGGTTCGTGGTTATGCCATTTTATTAGAATAGATTTAAAACATTTGTGTCCTGCTTCAGCTAGTGCTACCGAGTCAAACTTCTTTGCAATTTGTGTTGCTAACTTTGAGGAATATTTTATCTCTCATGTAGTTCAGTAACACTGAAGAGGCTAAAGTGAGACTTTCTGTCAAATTTAGCTGCTTCACTTGGAGACTTGTTTGTAATTAATGAATGACCTTAAAGTTTAATTTTTATACCTTCACCACAATTTTTATTTTTGTTTATTTTTGACATGCAAGGACAAACCACATGAGCAAAATTTCTTTATTAATTATATACCTATAATAGTTTTTATTATTATTATTATTATTATTATTATTATTATTACAAGGGAGTAGCCTGATTCACATCTACCTCCATAAAATATATGCAAATTACTCAGGTAGTTTCATTGTTTTAATTCTAACAGTTTATTCATATCAGTGTGATATTCTGTCAAAAATACCCCAGATTACTTACGCCCAAACATTTGGAGTTTTGGATGAAATACGTTTTCTCTCATCTGGTGTCAGATGATGCGCAAAGGGTGCGCCTCACAAACAAGAAAACAAACGCGCACAAATACGGCTGGTTAAAGCACGCACCTAAGCGTTTTGGCAGTGATAGCCTAAATAATGGTGTGAGCCAGATGGCGACCCGCGGAGCTTACGTGACTCTGTCTAATGGCATGTTGAGTCTGCTGAAAACCTAAACAGCTACGTATGGATAAATACTAAACCTAGACGACGTGTCTAAATGCGTAATTCCATATTTAATTTGCCATTTTAAAGAATAAACACACAAAAATTAACCTTATTTTGCTTGATTTAGACTCCCTGTGACTAAGAGCGATTACAGAGATTCACTTACCTTACATATGGCCCATGCAGACCTAATATTTTCTTGGTAGTTTATAGTAAAATCCAAACAGAAAGCGCAACTCCTGGAGTGTCCCCAGCTGACTTAGCTGCGTAAATCATGTCAGAATCTCCAAAAGGAGAATTCCCTTAAACCAATATTAGTCCAAGTACAGAAGGAAAAGGTCGCTCTGTTGTGCCAGATTTGTTCTCCGTATTCCGACCCAGTGCACTGAATAAACCATGCGTCTCTGAAGACGGCGGACCAAAGTGCCTCTGCGCCTCACGGAGTACAGTTGCAGTCGCTGATTAATTGGATGCTACGTTTCCACTCTGGAAATCCGAGAGAGCTCCACCATCTCCGATCGAAAGGAGTCCAATGAAGACATCAGAGTGTCCAACAAACTAGAAAAGCCCCAGAGGTGCGTTGTTACCGCTCATCTGCCTCTTGGTAAAACAGCTCAATTGTACTGTGTCCAGAATCTCCGGTATTTCCCACCAATCTCGCCATAGTAAACAACAGATATTCAGATAAATGTTTTCCACTTCCTCCAAGTCACTCTGTGTTTACGCAGAGGTCTCCACACGCGTCGTCCTCATATTGGACTAAAGCAAGGCAGATGTCTGCGCACAGCACCGCGCCAGGCGCAGAGGGGCTGTTTGGAAAGATTTATAGTTCAATGCGCTCTGACGTTTGGGGGGGTAGTTGGTGTCCGCCCCCTCTTTTATAGACCCATGCGAGCGCAAACAGTGAGTAACAGAGGTCCGCATTTCTCTCCAAGCCACCCCTGGAGCCTTGTTTGGAGGAGCGAAGTTTTCAGATGTCTTGAGGATTATGTCACACATCCTGATGTCCTCGGATTAGATTTCAGTATGCGGAATGCGATTTGGAGATGTTCTGTTGCGGTGCATGTTTCTAACCTGATCTCCGCGCTCCGTGCGCCTGCAGTGTCAAGTTCCGTCTCATGGCTGCACACATCTCAAATGCAGGAGTGACACTTCACCTGCTATTTACTCGGAGCATGCTCGTGCAGACGCGAAGGGAGCTTTTAAGGAACTATTTTTCTGGCCTGCTTTAAAATTTACAGTTTATTTAACTGCAAACTCGATGCTGAGAGAGAGGGAGGGAGAGGGAGAGCAGTTCATTGGCGCATGTTGGTGTGGGAGTAAATTGGGTTCTGGTCAAAGTGAACTCCCGACGCGCATAAGAGAAACCTGGGAAAGCAGAATTAGCCTTCATAGTTTAGAAGCAGCCTGCTTTCCAGGGGCGCTTATAGAAATTTTGAATTTAATGGTCAGTTGTGAGCAGCTTAAAATCTTGGGATGGCACAGAGGATAAAAAAAAAAAAAATTATTGCATTATTTCAGTAGTTTTTATTTCATTTTATTTTAGTAGCCATGATACTACGGTGAAAATATAGATTTCATTGAAAACATCTTGATTCTCCTTATGATTTTTTTTTTTTTTTAAACAACACAATGACTCGTATTTTATTGGGGGGGGCGGGGTTGTAATTAAGTTTATAACAACATGAGCTGTTTTGATTTTAGAATCTTAAGTTTGCTCATTCCAAAAAATAAGATACATAAAACAGTAATAGTAATAATAATAATAATAATAATAACAAAATGCAATGTTCAAATTTATTGTAGCTGGGGGAGCCATGGGATAGAAACTAAAAAAAAAGGTTTTCTTTCAGTTTCACCTGAACAACTTGGCTACGGCTTATCCGCATGTTTAGTCCGGTGGTTGGTAACGCTAACGTTTGCATCTGATTTGTAGGTTGTGCATCAACAAATTAAAAGGCTTTTTTGAAATCTATGTTTTTATACAGCATTAACTCTTTTTGACCACCTGTTATTGAAAATTTATCCCAATTAAAATAGAATCAAAAAGTATTTTGTAGTGTTTCTAATGTTACATCATTTACAAAATGAGTTTTATGTTATGTGGTTGTGTGTTTACATGTGCAAGGCGGTAAAAGTAATATGGTGCTCACCCAGAAAGCCATCATGCTGCTAGAACGATCGCTGCTAATTTCTAATAAATATATTTCTATACGACAGCGTTGCCGGAGTTGGAGGTTGTCCAGTAAACCTGTAGGAGTGCTCCCTGCCCTCTTTGGTCCCCCCTTGGTGGCGCCACTGCTGCTTATTTATCTCCTGCAGATCTGAATTCCACAAGTTACTCAGGCCTCTGAGAATTAAACTCCGTGTTCCCGAGCCGGGACACCAGGTCCAACCACAGCTAAACACTTGCGTGTCCAAGAAGCGCTCTGGTTCAATTTTTGACTTGCAACGCTCGTACAAAAAAAACGAGAGAAAAAAGGCGAGCTGTTCAATAAAAGGCTGAAAATCCTCACTCTGACACCCTAAATCCGCACTGACTTACCTGTTACTCAGCAGCATTAAAGCTCAGATTTGTTTGCTCACAATCCCAAAACGTCTTGTTTATACATGTTTTTCTTTCAGGCGATTTAGCTGGGCCCTGCCCATCCCTGCTGCGTCTACATTTCACTCTGCCAAGTCCTCATCGTATGGATTCCTCCCTGTCAAGTTCTCACATGGTTTTATTGTGTTACCAGACAGCTGCTGGCTCATTTTCAGTGACAATACCCCGTTAATTTTAACTCAGCTCATACTTATTTTGTAATTCATAATCCTTTTCAAATCGTCTTGCATTTTGAAGTAATGCAAGTCTGCATTGACTCTTCAAAGTGGCTCCTATTACCACTTTGACTACCAAAACCTAATTCTTCCTCATTGACGGCATTTGTGATACTATTTACTGATTCAATGTTTTTGTCTTCTTGAGTATCACTTCTTAAGCCTCCTTTACAAAGCGACAACATGGTCATAAACGGCCGTAACAAAAGATCATGGAAAAACAGGAAGTGTAGCTACACTTCCTTTTTAAGTTTTCAGCTCTTAGGTAGAAACGCCTAATGCTTCAAATTCTTACTTTTTACAATCACTCAACACTACAATTGAATTGAAAATGAATAGAAAATCAGTTTGTCTTTCTGTTCGACTAGAATATAAGATTTTTGTTCCCCTGCCAGTGCATGCTGGATCGCCTCAAGGCTCTGCACAGCCCTAAACAAGAATATGCAGGTGAAAAAAACTCAAAGATAGAAAGTCATCTTTTAACACTGTTTAAACAAACTCACACTGGTGAATATAATATGAATAGACATTCAGAGAAATCAGATTATAGTCTGATTGCAGAGTTTTTCTAGTGTGGGTTTTCAAGATGACTCAGAGTTTGACAGCAGTCAAATTCAGTCACATTTGCAGCCTTTTAGTGTGTCATAAAACTAGGAAAGACAACATTGCTTTAAGTGGAAATTTCAGGCATAAAATATCGAATTTGGCATCTATATGACCCCACTGTCTGACAAAAGACATCAATGTCAACTACATCAACCTGTAGGCTTAAGCATTTATGAATCAATCCAAATATTTTGTTCTTTGCCCTCTGTGCAGATTTATTAAATCAGTTTTACTTATAAAGTACATTTAAAATAATATAATTGGGCTGTACAATAAGCACCTCAAAATATAACACTAAGCCAGTAAGAAGTACCCAAAATGTTAAGGGAACACAGTTCAAAGAAAATATGAGTTTAGGTTAATGCTCACCAAGTGCAGGCTGCTGTTCCTTTTACTAACTCTTAGTAAGTTGATACAAATCTGAATAAATAATACATATGTATTTGGAGGCTAGTAGGCTCCAAATACAATTCTTTTAACACATAAAAGAATTGGTTTGCTGCAACTCTGAGCAACGCCGGCAATAACTGTAACTGAAAAAGTGTAAAATACAAATATTGACCCCCCTGTCAAATGGGGTACCAGAAAGTGACATGACCACCGTTTGCCGTAATTATTTAAACTTAAGAAAGCGTAGAAAAAATGTAGAGACATGCTGTACAAAAACATCAAAACACTAATAATTAAAACAAGCCCCACAAACTGATGTGCACCAGCAGAGAGGAGTTGTTGTCAATGATTTAACAGAAAACATCCCGTAACAGCAGACTTTGAAAAAGCAAACAGAAAAAAGCTTCCATTATTCTCACAGCAGGAATGGAAGACAGACAATTAAATAGCTGGAAACAACCATTCTACTTTTTTTCTGACTTGGCCTTTATTTGTACAGGTTATCTCAATGAGATCCGAGATCTCATTTACAAGAGAGACCTCTTTTGATTTATATACACATCACCATAATATTCACAGAAAAAAAAACCCCCCAAAAAAAAAAAAAAAAAAAAAAAAAAAAAAAAAAAAAATGAAAAAAAACATTAACGTTCCAGTAGACACCAGAAAATCCCAGAAAAAGCCAGTTAATCCTATAATTTATCTTCAGCATTTAACAGAAAAACATTTAAAACGAACTGTCAAAAAACAGCATTATTCTGGGAGCGTGGATGCCACAAAAGGCTTATGGTTGTTTTTTTCTTCCAATTTACACAAACGTCTGCAAAACTCAATATATATGTCCATATGTATATGCAGATAATTTTACTGTTTAGCAGATAAATAATGTTGATTAGAAATAAAGACTCAGCTCCAATAAAGGCTCCAACCCATTACGCATTACAGCAGTTGGGTCTTCGTGCTTGACAGACGTTCCTCAGAGACATGTGCACAGGGGCTGTATTGTTGATAGGATCTGCAGACACGTCTCCAGAAATCGTCCGCTGCCCTCCTCCGCCTCATCCAGACAGAGCGGTGAAGATAAGAGCGACCAAGAATAGGCTCATCTTCGCTTTATGTGGGAGCGCTGCAGACTCTGTGTGTGTCATACGTTCCTTGAGCTGAAAGACTTTAGTGACTACGGCATTAATATGCAAGGAGGAGAAACATGAGTAAGACAGAGAAATCACCACCACATAGGGTGTGATGAAGAGGCCCGTCACTATCTGAAAAGCTCTCCTTTATTTTTTGTGGCACTGATGAGACAACCACCCTGACTTCTGAATTCATTCCTCCACTGAGCGCTGACAGCCCCTCAGATGGAAGCATCAAGGAGTTCCCACAAAGTCTACAAAGGCATTTAACAATACTCGCAGTAACAACCGGATCATCTGGTTCTGTTTACCGTCAGGCTGTTAAAAGCTAATCTGAAACAAATGCTTGACACTGCTAATTGATTTTATTTTCCAACAACTTTATCCCGTCTTTAAGCATGCACTATATCAATTTGTAGTGATAGTATTTTGTTTAAAAAGTTGTCTTTAGAGATTTAAGACAAAACAAAACACAGCTGACATCCTCTTCCTCTTACATTAAAGGCACACTTCTTCACATGTGATGGAAGTGGGGCATTCTGTATTTATGACTCGATCTGGTTTTATGTGTTTCAGAGGAATAAGCTGTTACAACACAAGATTCATGACTGTGCAGTAAATTTAACTTATTGAAATTATTTAATTTAAAGAAAACCCGAAGAAGAAACACTGAAACCCATTCATGTGATTTAAGTTATTGTAGTCCAGCTGCTTTCAGTCTCCGAGTACTCAGTATCATAAAATGCTCCTACGTTTTGGTTTATACTGCTGTCATGCAGTTTAATTGGGAAAAAGAAGTTAGTTGCAATTTGTACCAGAGTGTCTACGCAAGTAGTTAATGTTGCTTTTGGTAATAAAGGTCAAATCAATTTAAATGTGTTCTCTAACATTTAAAGGGCTCTAATAATTTCCAGTCTAACAACTCTACAACATTGTTTTGTTTTCGTTTTTTTTTTTCAATGTTGGAAGAAAATATGAACAATCCAGCTGGCACAGTATTTTTCTTAACTAAATTTCTCAGTTTTATTTGAAAAAAAAAATTTATTAATACATGTGAATAAAAAGTAACAATCAACAATCTCAAAATCTATCAAGAATGTTCTATACTCAATATTATTTCTCATCACTAAATAAATAATGTTAATGAAGTTCATACTTTTTTTTTGATCACACAATTTTCTTTTTTTATGATCCAATCAACTTAAAAGAAACACAAAAGTAATCTGAAACAAAAACACTAACACTATTTCTACACCATCTGTAGAGAGAACGTTTTCCTGAGCCAATCAAAGGTTTAGCAGCGTATCTCAGAGGTTTAACAACTTCATTTGAAATTCTATTGCCCATCATTAGTTTTAGGAGGAAAAGTCTGAGAGACAAAAAAGGAGCAATTTAAAGTTTGCAAATCACAGCGAAATAGCTGTTTCTCACGTCAGAATGCGAGGAGTAAAAGTAAAATGGAGAATGCTTTCTTTGTCAGCCAGAATCAAGCTTGTTGCTCACACTTGGAACTAGGTTTGTCATGATAACAAATTTTGCTGAGCGATTAATTGTCTAAAAAATTATTGCGATAAACGATAATATTGTTTCAAGACCCTTTGACATTCATTTAATGGAAATGACTAATAATGCATACGATTTCCTGCCATAGATAGATACACTTTATTTTCAAAAGAACACATAACACTGGAACTGATAAACGAAATAAAACAACCAAAAACAAAAATAAAATGGATTCTCAGTCTCCATTAACAAAAAACGTACTTGAATAAAAATTAAACAACATAAAGCCAAAGTGGAAATAAATACTGCATTCAACCAAAAGAGTGCAGATTGTGAAGCCTGTATACCAATCTAGCTGTTTGGGAATCCCAAACAGCTGACACGGCGCAACCCGAAGTCCAACGGACATTGGAGATGATAAGTGGAAACAACATGAATGTTTATTCAGTATTTCCTGCAAAGAATATAGAAATGACAAGGGGAGGAGTTGAAGCCAAATTGTTACTGCAGTTGATAAACCCGGTAACTTTTCAGCTGTTCTTCGTTAACATGACATAAATAGGTTATAATGATTTTCATTGAGTCAGGACTTGCGCTGACTGTAGCCACATGTATCACAGGTAGATTCTAGTAAAGCATTGATTAATGCCCGATTTTAAAATTATAGCCCTTATTTTGCGCCCATGTGGCTGGACACCACACGGTACGATCGAACCCGATCGAACCGTTATGCCTAGGATTTCTGTCTGCTAAAGTGTGGTCTCAGGTTTTGAAAATGGGCCGACAGTCGGCCGACAACTCGTGTAGCGTGCGCTGGACATTACATTAAGGAAATGAGGAAGGGAGGGTCAGTGTAGAGCACCGGAGTTGAGCCTTTTTTCATTCAGTGTCATCAACAGAGAGGGAAAAAAAAGGCAGGAAGAGACGATAAAGCCGATAATTAAAATGAGGTCGATAGGTTTAATTTATCGTGCAATTAATTGATTTATCGTTTATCGCGACAGGCCTACTTTGAACTGACTTGGATTTTGGTTCATGCGACTCCAAATTTAATTGGACGCTTAAGAACAATATTGCACTTAAATTTTAGTCATATTTGTCTTTAAATAAAAAGTATTCTCGTAATATTTAATATTCGTAATAACCAAGCATAAAGAGCACAGAGTTGGGTGTTTTCTCAAGAATAAACTTTGAAACTGCAGGGTTATTTGACGTGTTCAAAGTAGGAAGCAGAGTTATGGTCCTCACTTGAACCAGATTTCTGCTTGGGTTTGGGAGGCAGACAGTTTTCTTTCGCTGTTAAAACTTGGCTTAAAACTTTCCTTTTTGAAAGAATTTATAGTTACACCTAGTTTT